AGGGGAAGGAGTACTCCAGCCAAAGGGAAAGAAACCTTCCTCAGGCCAGAACAAATTGGGTGAATTTGGGAAGCAGAGATGAAGCCCATGTGGCTGGATAGGGGTATGCTAGGAGGAGAGGGACAGGATGCATTTCCAAGAAGTAGATAGGAGCTGGGATGGATGAAAGAACAGACAGAACAGGAGAGGAAAAGAAAGAAATGAGCAAGAGTGCTAAATTCAGCTTAATTAGAGATTCTTTTACAGTTTGATCTTCATGGAAGTTTTTTATTAGTCCACATTCCTGTCTTGGTAGGTACTAATTGAAGGATGAATACAACTTTTATTATTTGATAGTTTAAAGCATTGCCATCCATCAATTATTACCTTAAATATCAATGACCACAAGATAGTACTGAAAAAGAATACATCTGTAGACCCTGTCATAAAGTGGCATGAATAGGTATTACTTTTAAGAAATACCCAGAAGGTGAATTTTCAGTAATACTCAACTTGAGTCTATTTTGTATTGATTTACGCCTTTTCTTCTGAAGGAGGTTAGAAGATATTCACAGATAATTAAAGTTTCATATTTGCTGATTCTAATTCAATGTTTTCTGGAACCAAAGGATAATTTAAATAATTCTCAATTTTCTCTTCTTATATTTACTTGTTGCATTAGACTTTATTATGAGCAAAATTTCAAAAGCAATATATTATAAGGTACATTATAACCAAAGTCCAAGCAACTAAACTATAAATAAATAGGTCTACTCCTCTTTGTGACCTTATGCAAATCAGATAATCAATTCTTTCAGCAAAAACTGCACTATATGCTTGGTCTCCATCTAGATTCTCAATAAAGAAGAGCTTTGATTTTATCGGATAAAAACATTTGTATAAGTATATCCTTGCTATTTACAAATGTAATTGACACTAGATTTTAGAGCTGACAATATACTGACCCTATAACTACTCCTATGTCACAAAAATTGTTTCAACAATGACACTGCTCAATGGTGGCTTGAATTTGCAAATATTTTCAGTAATCACAAAGCCACATCCAGAAATATTCATTAGTAACTATATTTGCATCTATTAAATATAGATTAAGAGGGTTTTATTTTAACAAGATTTTATTTACCAACTAATTACAATGACAATTTATTACAAGTATGAAAATAATTAACTTTGAAATATTAGAGTAGTGTAGCTCCTCTGGTTGAAAAAAAAAAACAACAACAACCATTTTCTCCTGTTCTGTGGGCCTCATTAGAACAGCTACTTATGTCAGTCATTGTTACTAATTTCACATTTGTACTTACTCTTTATTTTCCCAGACATCTGAATTCTGGTGCTGTTGATTTTATAAAGGCCTTTTAAAGATAAATTTGCTATACATCAAAAGCAACTGTTTTAAAAAGCATTCATCTCTGGCAGCTTTGTTCTCGATACTTTTCATATCAGTTCACCACCAGTCATTGCTTTCTTTCCTCCTCCAATTAGAGAAAGTATATTCTTACCTCAAAACATGAGCAACAAAATCTTGCTCCCCACTTACAGAGGAGGGGATAATTCTTACATAATTTCTTTCATGTAGCATTAGTCAGCATATCTCAATGTTATTTTTTGTGAAGTGTCAGTAAATTAAGCACGAAAATAAAATTTTATTCACTGGCATGATGTTTTGACCACTAGACCAACAAAAATTCTACTTAACTTGAAAATATAATGTTTAGAAAGCATAAATGCAACTAACTATACATTCTTATCTTGAGCACTTTCAAAGATAACTTCACCTTTCCTATCTTACTAAAAAATAGAATCTGTTGTCCTAAGATAAAAGGGCCACAAAACTCCAAGACTTAATCTCTGCTTCAGTCTAAAAAATTTAAAAAATACTTTTAAGTTTTAGTTCACATCCTGCAAAAATATCCCTTGATAGAAAATTTTCTGAACTAGATTCTGAGAGGCAAACATTTTTGCTTCACTTAAGTTTTTCAGGATGAAAAAGGAGAGAAGACGGGTCAACAAAGAACCATAAAGATTCACCTAAAATAGATCAGCTTCAAATGTTAAAATACTTTTTAGTACACTAAACAACTTCAAATTACAATTTTTGTACTATAAATAAATATTTGAATGGCAGAATACTTTACCCTGGTATACTCAGGATTAAAGCTGCCTCATATTTATCTCTAATCATGTCACTGAACTGATACTGTTTTTTGGACTGCAAATAAACGAGTTATTCATCATAGTGTGACACAGTTATTTATGATTGATTGGTATGAAATAGAAAGGGACTTTGTCCTCAGCAAAAGCTTAGAACAGGGCTTGTCCAGTGTATGCTGTCTGTCCATCTGCAGCCAGCCAGCTGAATTACTGCTTGCCCATCTGGTAAGAGACTCAATACATTTTCACGGCATAATTCCCACTCCATAATGAATTATCAATCCCAACTGACTCTGTTTTCTAGATCCTAATTCATTACAATACAATGACTTCAACCTTATTAGGCTTTTCGAATCTCACCATGGTTTTACATGTTCCAAGGAAAAAAAACTAGGCAGGAAAATTAGTCCTTAATGTTTGTTTCTTTTACAGAAGAAAACACTATTATTGACCAAACAATAGTAATGCCCCTGGTTGTACATTCTTTAAAACTTTTTTCCTTTGTTTTTCTTCCCATTTCAAAAAAGGCTGAGGAAAGAAGAAAGAAATTTGCTCCAGTGATTGTGCTCCACACTTACCATGTTGTTGCTGTTCTTACTGTAGCCAAATAGATCCACTAGTCAACAGGAAAACATATACAGCAACCTATCTGCACATTCTGATATCATTCCTAATGAAGAACTGAAAATGAGAAAGCTGCTTCTGAAAGAACTTTGGTTACACTGAGGCCCTATATGGCATGCAGGACCCTCTGAACAGTATCAGTATTGCTCTGGCTTCGTTTGCACTCTGGTTATAACTAAGGACATGGCAGATTTAATGAATTTACTTCATGAACAGCATTCATTTAAAAACTGCCTTTCTCTATAGCCAAAAACTTACCTCCAGAGTAATTAAATTCAGTCTAAGTCATATTTATTCCCAGATAATTTCAGTTAATTTTACTAGAGTTTCATGACTTACAAATTATTTTTAAACAACTAAAAACAGACTTAATCTACTGCTGTTATTTTATATTGACAGCATTTAGCTTTGTACACTGTGATTTCTATTGATTATTATATTTCCTTTGCTTCAAAGAACTTGTTCCTTTGATTACACAGCACCAGTTATTTTGATTGTTGTCACATGGTAGTGCTTTGTATCACTCTACCAAGAGCTGCTAACATAATCATCCATTTGATTACATGAAAATTAAATCTTAAAATACACACTTTAGTATGGAATCCTTACTTCTTTCTCAAAGTCATGTGAATCATGATTCTATGATTAAATATTTAGTCTACATATTCCACACAGCACACATGTGATCAGTACCAGTAATAGTTTATTCTGTGTAACATGCCATCATTTGTGAGTTGTACAAATATGTAGCAGATCTCTAGTTCACATTAATATTTTAGCTACAAAACCAATAATGAACAAAAGTTACTAGTTAAGTGAAGATGTTACTATGTGTAAATTAACTCTGTATACTAATAATGTGCCATGTGTGTAATAATATCCACAAGTCTTAGGATGTAGATAGATAAATGGACTGAAAAAGAACTGAAGTCATAACAAATTCCAATAACCATTTCTAATCTATGTTTGTATATTGTCAGATTACAATTCCCTGGCAGAATTATTTTTTTCTTCTTAAAGAAAAGTAATTTATTAATTTAAGTACTTAAAAATAAAAATAGAAATCACTTCTGAAAATGCAAATTACTTAAACAATTGCTATACAACCCAAAGGAGAGTGTTTTAGGTTTTCTAAGTTTTCAAAAATAAAGGTGTAAAATAATATATACAAAAAATCTGTGACAAAATAAGACTTCCTCTGAAACTAGACTTAAGTACTCTACTCTATCAGTAGATCTAATGCATTTCTGAACATTTTATATTTGACATTAAACTAGTTCAATTACAATCACGACAGAAAACATAGTTCTAACATTAATACTTCTTACTTAAAAAATACAACCTCCTGAGTACATTTTGTTCCCTTCCCCCAACAGCCCTAATCTAAGGTCTTGTTTCCATTTTAATACACTTTTAGACACTAGTGAAAAAATATTTTTGTTGCTACTCAGGAGTAGTAACAGTGGAAAAGTAAGTGATGTTGGAAAATTGTTGGAAGTTTGATTCAACTGTAAGTACACTTTTCAGCTGCAATGTTTCAGGCCACCAACAAAAATGAATCCTGATGGCTATAAGGAGATGATGTACCTCCCCAAGTACAGAACTTGTTTTCATTATAAGCAACACTGTCATTAGGAAGAAAACTGCCAGGCATGAATTGTTGGAAAATGTCTGAAGGTGCCCCAGAGTTTAGATCTATAAACCCACAGAGAAAATGCAGAAAACTGGCTTTTAAAGATGAAAGGCCTCAGAAGACCTCAGTCAACAGACATTTTATGATTAGAGGATTAAAATGAAAGTAAGCACCTTTGTTGATGCAAATGGCAGCACCAAAATTTAGTCAATAATCTGAACATTTCTTCCTATGTGTGTTTAACTGGGACTGAGTGAGGTAGGCTACAATGAAGAATGAGAAAGATAGGTCAGCTTAAGGATCAAGGGACTATAAGAACCCTAGGAACACAGCATCTACTTCTCCTTATTCTTCCTTTATGAATAAAATCAAAACACAGAAGAACCCGTAGAGCTCCAGTGAATAACAAAACTAATATCTCAATGTATTGATAAATCAATTCTAGGTACAAACAACTTTAAATATTGTGGACCTCATGTTTTCCACAAAAATCTGTTTTAAGGGGTCCGATTCATGTATCCTCACAACAATTTGATTCTCAGATGCTTTGATCAATTCTCAGATCAATTCTTCATCAACCCTTGAAAAGTTATTTGTTGTCCTGAAGATCTTTCTGTGCCAATGTCTGAAAAGTAAACATATGATAGGTATTCATAAAGAAAACTGAATTCACTTTTGCTTTTGCAGTGCTGAGAATAGAATCTAGCGCCTTGTGTATTCCAGGCAAGTGTGCTACCACTGAGCTACATCCGCCATCCAAGTAGTCTTTTTTTGTGTGAATACTGGGGTTTTGAACTCAGTGCTTGCTGGGCAGGCACTCTTCCACTTGAGCCACTCTGTTAGCCTATAAATAAACTCTTTTTTGTGTGGTATTGGGATTTGAACTCAGGGCTTTGTGCTTGCTAAGCAGGTTTTCTACTACTTATGCCACACCTCCAACCCCCCCCAACTAAATTCTTAATAAAGGGATTATATAAAATTTATGAAAATTTAGCAGAGCAATAACTCTGGGTATTTCTGAATTATATTTTTCAAAGTTCTTACAGAAAACATAAATCTAAACATAACTTAATTAGAACTTTTTTTTTTGGTGGTAGTGGGGTTTGAACTCAGTGCCTCACACTTGCTAAGCAGGTACTCTACCACTGGAGCCAGTCCACCAGCCCAAAAACATTTTTGAAATAGAAAATAAGCATGAAGCAAAATGTAATGTATCAAATTACAACTATATTTTAACATACTTTAAAGTTATGTATGTCTTATTCTAGAACATGGAAAATCCTGTGCTCATTTTATAAATAATCAAAGTAAGCAGTTAAAATAATTTAAAGTGGTCCTATATAATCTGAAAATAAGTTTCTAATAGATGAATCAAAAAAATTGAGATCATAAAATCTGTAATACAAAGTTTCAGGATCAAATATAATAGAAGTATAACTTCTGCCTATCAAAAGCAAAAGGCTTTTAAAGCATTATGACAGTTACACTCCTTCAGTATGTTAAACCTCTAATAACAGAAGAGGTTCAATCAAGGAAATGTTGTGAGGTCAGATTCGAATTTTTTTTTAAAACTTAGTTTAAAATTGTACATGTTCTCTTTGACTATAACTTGCTTTATGTAGCACCTAACTCTGCAAGAACTAAAAATACTTCATGGCTTTATATCCTGATTTTAGTGTTATTCATTGCTGCTTTTTGGGTTTTGCAGTGGTACAAAACTCTAGTTCAAGCAATTCAGTAAAACCATTCTTACCATGAGGTAAAATAATGCTTAACAGAAGTTCGACAGTGAAGGCTTACCAACTCCAGAAATTCTATTTCTGTTTGGAGAGCTTCGTAAACACTTTCCATGTCATCTTCCTTATAAAGTTCTAATTCTTTTTTAAGTCTGTTTTAAAAGAAAAATTCATTCAGTTGAACCATAAACTATTCTATAGTAATTTTATATTACACAGAGAATAGTAGGTTTGTAGCTTCAAAAATCAGCCAAATTCCAAGTTAAAACTAAAGAATTGAGAATTTTTAACTCTATAATTCCATAAGGACTTTTTTTGGCCATGATGAGAATTAAACTCAGAGCCTTGGGCTTTAGCAGGCAGGCAACCTACCATGTGGACCACACTGCCAGTCACTTTAGGACCTTCAGGACTATAAATTTGAGGAAAAGCACCCACAATGAAAATAAGGTAGACAATGAATAACAGACATTTAATAAATTTATGGTAATTAAAAGAGTAACAGATTAATGAGACAAACATGTCTGAGGACTTCTGTTTTAGTTCTGGTCACTAAGAAGCTGAACAAGCCTGGTTAAGTCATTTAGCATCTCTGAGCCTCACCTGAAAAAATTTTATGTACAAAAAAATACTACTGACATTTCTTCTTGCTCTAAGATTAAGCAGTAATTTAATAATACACATACATAATTAAAATACATTTTCCAAGTGAGAATATAATATTAATGTTTCTTTTCCCCAACTAAGTCTTTAAGTATTTGAATAATTTGTTGTTTTTTTGTAAAACTTATTTTATGCCTATGCCAAATCTGTGAAAGTTTTTTCAGAGAGGACTTTCTGTTGCTATCGCTAGTATTCAGGAAACACTGCTGGTCTAAATCCCCTTTTCTTTTCCCTTGAGGGTTGGAGCTCAACAGAGGTTCAAGTATATCTATGTTTTTCACCTTGTTGCTGGCCTAAGAGTTGATTATGATTGTGAAAGTCATGCTGCCCTTATTATCTGCCATCAGGCTACTTCACACTCTAGCTAACCAGCATCAGGTTCCAGCTCTATCTCTCCAGCCACAGTTCATGGACTTGATTATGTTTTTTTCTTTTTGGAAGAAATGTTTGACAATGAACAAGGAATTTATAATAAAAAAATCAACAAGCATCCCAATAAGGAAATCTAGTATAAGTAAAAGTCAGGAGAGATAAGAAATAACAGATTTTATCCACAATATACAAAAAGCTACAAATCTATAAGAAGAACAAAACACAATGGAAAATGGGAACAAAAAAAAAACCAAACTTTTAACAGATTATTCACAAAAGATATCCAGTAGCTTATGAAAAAATGAAATGGTGTTCAACTTTATTAGTGATGGGAGAAATACAAAGGAAAGCACAATGAAATACCACTAAATGGTCACTAAAATATCTAAAGTCAAAGTTACCAAGTATTGATAAGGTTGTGAAGAAACTTAAGAACTTTAAGAATACTAGAAGGTGATATCACATGCTCTTCTTTTACTTTTAACCTATCTATATGTATTTATTTAAAGTGGGTTTTTGGCTAAAACCATATAGTTGTGCCTTACTCTTTTATCTAATATGACAATCTCTGTCTTTTATTTAGCATGTTTAAGCCATTTACATTTACTATAGTTAATTTATGGCTGGATTAAAAATACAGCATTTTTTTCTAGTTGTTTATTGTTTGTCCCATCTGTTCTTTGGTTATTTTTTAACCCCCTTTTCTTTCAAACTACATTTGGATTATTTTTTATGATTGCATTTTATCTCTTTTATTGACTTGGTGTTTATACCTACTTTTAAATTTTTATAATGCATGCACTTGAGTTTGTAATATACATCTTCATTTCAACACTGTGTACTCTCAAATAATACTATACTGCTGCACTTCAGGGGTAAGAATGTTACAGTACTATATTTTCAATTTCTACCTCACATTTTTAGGGTTCTATTATCATCATACATTTTTCTTTTTGCATGCATTATAAATCAAAAAATATATTGCTACTATTTTTGCTTCAGTCACTTATCTTTTAATGTAACTAAAAGTGAAAATACAGCTTTTATATTTACCTCCACTTTAACCATTTCTGAAGCCTTTTCATTGCTTTGTGTAAGCTCCAAGTTTCTATTGGTGTCACATTTTTTCTTCCAGAGAACCTGACTATAGCCTTTTTTGTAGTGTAATCTGTTGGCAACGAATTCACTCAACTCATGTTTGTCTAAAAATGGCTTAATTTCCCTTCCTTTCTTAGATATTTTTACTGAGAACTCTGAGGTGACAGCTCTTACTTTCAGTGTACATGTCATTTCCTTGTCTTCTGGCTTGCATAATTTTGTCAAGAAGTCTACTCTCTTATCTTCCTCTGTATGTGATGTGTCTTTGGGTCTTTTCTTCCTCTGCTTGTTTATGATTTTCTCTTCATATTTGTCTTTCAGAGGTTTGGATATGATGTGTATAGATTCCCTTTTTAAAATGCTACTTGGTGTTCTCTGAGTTCCTTGCATCTGCAGTTACAGTATTTCATTTTTTTTGTAAAATTCTCTGCCACTATCTCTAACATATAGAAAAATATGGATGAAACCCAAATGCATTCTGTTGAATAAAAAAAGGTAGAATTATTGGCTACATAGCATATTATTCCATTTACATGACATACTGGAAATGGCATAAGTAGGAAAAGAAAACGAACAGGAGCTAGGGGCAGATTGCAGGCACTAATTATAAATGGGCAAGAGAGAACATTTTGGGATGGGTTGAAGTATTCTATATCCTGATTGTGTTGCTGGTCATATGACTGAATGTGTTTTCCAACTCACAGATGTTTATAATAAAAAGGGTGTGTTTTACTGTACATAAGTTATACTTCAATAACCCTTTAAAGAAAAGAAATGACAGGAGTCTAGGTTCCTATAATAACCATTACCTAAATTTTGCAAAAATCAGTAAGAAAACATAATAAAATCACTCATGAACTATCCACACAAGGTAACTAGGAAATTTGAAATTATGTTTAAGCAGAGAAATAAACATATAAATCCAGCTGCTAAGCCCACCCCAGTGAAAAGGAGTTAAGTAGTAATTAAATGGAAGAGAGATGAAAAGGTGAGTTAAGGGTGAGGAAATACACAACAAATGACCCTTACAAAGTATAAGTATCATCCTGTGGGGAGGGGGGAAACTAACAGTTCTGAGGCCTCATGGTTGATACAGTACTGACTTCAGTGCAACTAAAGGAAGTTTTAAAATCAATGGCTGTTATCATTTGGGTGGTAGAAACTGTATTTTTTGATTTAATGACTTTCTTTTGCCTCTCTTGACCCTTCATTTCCATTTCTTGCCTCCTGCTTGCTTTAAAAGTTAAAGCACTTCCAAGTTGTCTGTTTCTCACACAGTAACTATAGTGGAATGGAAAAAGTTGTTTTATTCGTTTGGTTGGTTTTTCTTTTTCATGAAGAAAGCTTTTTAAGAATACTATAAACAAAAAATACCCCATTTAGAAACCAATAATTCCCAAATGAAATAAATTCATCCAGAATATAAAAAAATAAAGAAAACAACTTTCTTTACTAAAGCAGGTGTAACACTGATACTTAAACCTGATCAAAATAATGCATACATATATGAAAATATACACACATACATCTGTAAGTACCAAAGCAAAAATTAAAAGTAAAATATTAGCAAAAAGAATCCAATACTACATTAAGTAAATAATATACTGTGATCAAATAACATTATTCCAGAAATGAATGTGTGACTCAGTATTACAACTTGTTACAACCGGAGACACTAATATTTTCAGAAAAAATATGATTATCTCCAAAGGTAAAGAAACAACCTGTGAAATATTAAAAACTTATTGCTGATAAAAACACTCAGTAAAATTAGAATTAGGGATTACACAATAAAAATATGTCAGTTCTAAAGTTAGCATTTTATTTGCTAGAGAAATACTAGAGACAATCTCCTTAAGGTCAGGAACATTTGAATATTTTGTTGGAGTAATTCACCAACAAAATTAGAGAAAACAACAAGAGGCATAAGAATTTGAGAGAAAAAATAAAGCAACTTTGATATTCAGGTGTATGTCAATATATCTAGAGAATGACTGATAAAATTAACTCAGATAGTAAGATAAGAATGTATTAAATTAGCATATAAAAGTAAATAGCCTTTATTGTCATCAGTAATAAGTAAGATGACTTTTTCTTGGCTAGAAGATCATAAAATGTTAATAATTTTAATTTAAATCAACTGTGATCCCAATAAAAATAAACCAAGTGTTTTTCTCCCTGGTGCTAAGCAAATTGATCCTGAAGTTCAAAAGGAAAAAAAATTGAGGAAAGCTCTTCAATGTTTTTCTTTTGGGGAAAGCACTGAAAAGAAAAACAAAGAGGGGTGACTAGCCATACCAGACATTAAGTCATACTATTAATGTTGATCACTGAAACAGTGAAGTACTGGTATATAAATAGAAGAGTGGGACACTGAAGACAGAAATGGACTCAAGCACACAAATGGACATTCAGTGTATGATAATAATGGCACCTCAAACACTGAGTAAAAAAAGCTGGGCTTTCTAATAAATTATGTTGGGAGAACTGGACATTCACTTCCAAATAGATGTGAATATAAATGGATACCCAAAGTTAAAATTTGATTTGTATTTCACAGCGTATCTACTCTAAATGGATCAAATATTTAAATGTGCAAAATGATACCATACAAGGACAAAATGAAAACATGGATAAACTGTTTTATATGCTAGGAGTGGATAGAGTTTTAAACTATGATTCAAAATACAAATGCAATTTAAAAGACAAGATTTTAAAATTTAATTGCACTAAAAATTTTGCATAGCAAAAACCATATAAATAATATTGGAAGTGTACTACAGAGCAATAGCAATAAAACAGCATGATACTGGCACAAAAACAGATATGAAGACCAGTGGAAGAAAATAGAGGATCTGGATGTGAATCCACACAGCTATGCTCACCTTATTTTTGACAAAGGCACCAAAAATATATGATGGAAAAAAGACAGCCTCTTCAAAAAATGGTGCTGGGAAAAGTGGCTATCTGCCTGCAGAAAACTGAAACTAGATCCATGACTGTCACCCTGTACTAGTAT